AAAGGTTTAAGGTTAAAGGCTTTACCCCCAGACTCGGGATGTGAACCGATCATGTATTGGGGGTCAGTTTACCGAAAGTTTATTTTAACTATATTTAACTATTTAAGGCGTTTGTAACTATTTGAACGTTTATTACCTTATGCGTAACTATTTGACACATTTTTCAAGTTTTTGGCATATTTTAGTATAAAACACAAAGAAAATCACAACTTAATTTACATTTGTTTATTAGAAAAAATTAAAATAGAGTAATCTATGACAAATATAAAGGTTATTATAAAATATTGCAATAATTTATCATTCAAAGCGATGGAATAATCAAAATTATGAGTTGTATGTATTCATGGGTTTGACCAAAATAATTAAGATAATTTAAAATAGTTAAATTTAGTTAAATACACGTGATTTAACTTAAAAACAGTTATATTTAATGTATTAAAGAGTGGAACTGACATTTATTAACATTTTATACAATTTTAAAGCCTATTTTATAAAATTATAAGTAACTATTTGAGTAACTATTTGGCCTGTTTTTCGTAACTATTATAGTGACTATTTGGGGTCTTATATTCACCTATAATGCAATTCTCTGCTTATAATTATTTAAACACTAATTAATTAAATGACAGTAAATTTACTATGGTTAAAGCCTTTAACCTTAAACCTTTAACTTAAAGGTTTCGCGTAAACAATTAAATTTAAACACAATTTAAATTCAATTTATTTATCGCTTAAATCAAAATTAATTGCCATAAAATTATTATCCAATCGTTTGATACATCGCTGACAGGAATCAGAGACAAGTATATGACGGACTCAATGGAGACACCGGGAGAGGGCCGGGAGGCAAAGGCCATTGGAAAGCAGTTCGAGAAATTGNACGGACTCTATGGAGACACCGGGAGAGGGCCGGGAGGCGAAGGCCATTGGAAAGCAGTTCGAGAAATTGGCCAATCAGTGGAATCAAAGACATTGTGATGTATAACAGTTTGCTTTAATTAGCCAACAATTTGTCCATTCATTTGAACTTATTGTAAGCATAATTTAAATTGATATAAATGATGTTCAGTAATTAGTAATTACGTTATTCACTATAAAAAACGTACATAACTGATACTAAATTTCTTAATTTTCATATAACTTTTAGCTATTGTCAGATTTGAGAAATTCGTTCGAAATTCGATTCTACTCGTTCATGCCTTTCGATTGATATATAATATGCCATGGTTATTTATAAAATAAAAGATTTCATTTCCAAAATTTTACCGATAAAAGTGGTCACTACGGCCAGACCCGAAAAGATCTGGACATATGAAGTATATCACTCGACTACCTATTGAGTGTACTTTCATTTTATAACAATAATTCCCGGGTCCCCGCTATCACACGAATGGGCTTCATCTTTTATATCAATTTTAATAGTTCAGAATAGGTGAAACTTTTATATTATGTACAGTTAATGTTAGCAATTTCCCTCCCTGAACAGATATATTCCCGGAAAATATTTTTGGGAAGAAAGATATTTTATCTTCCAGAAAATAAAGAAAATAAGATAAAATGTGGTCAAACGATGACCAGTTGAATTGCATATAAATACTTTTTACTGACTGTATCTCAATTTAGTTAAACTTATTAGATCTAAGGATTTTGCTAAATCCAATTAATTTATTTAATTTAAATTAATTTGTAACTAATTAAACAGATTTTGAAAAGCGCGCAATGTGCTAAATTATATAAAAACTAAATCATTATTTAATTGTAATATTAT